GCATATCATATCACATAGCTTTTTGCAAAGCATTATACCTATTGATGGTGGAAGCTCAGTGCAAACTATTTATAGCTAGTACTTACAATTTAAAATTTACTAATATATGAGCATTCTACATAACCCAAGACCTATCGCTTGGCTACATATAAGCAAAAAGAGAAATTCTTCTTAGAATGTCTCCTAACAAAACACCTGAATCAAAAGTCCGACATAGATGCAGAGAACAGAAAATATGAAAAATAAAAATAAAAACGACGAGGTGAGCTAAACTCCAGTGAGAATATGTCTTACTAGAGTTCCTAGATATCTAACAAAATAATAATTCTCAGAAATAGTAAATTATAGGTTTGCATCTGAAATACTGAAATGATGAAATATTATGTAAAAGAACACATTATCATTATTTTCAAAAAAATATAATGTAATATTTTTAAAATTCTTTACTAAATCAGATTTTATGTGTAGACTGAATATACTGTCATACTTTACTATATCAGACATTTTGAAATCAAGATAAATGCTAAGAAGGAAAACAACCTATTAAATTTTGTGCAAGGCCAGAAAATTACCGTTTTCTCAAATTCACAATCAAATGTTAGAATCTCAAATCTCATAATTTTTCATATAGTTGCAAGAATTCGAATCTCGTAGGTCACACTAAGGCTACATATTATAGCTTAGTAGCATAAGAATGCCAAAATGCATCACATAATACATAGTTCTCAGGAACAAAAACACTACAATAGACCGTCGGCCACATCACAAATGCCCAAAAGGACCACATAAATATGCATTCAAACTATATGACAGACACAAGCACATCACTCCATAGTGGACTTTTGAGGGTTTTGAAGACATTAAGAATCACTTGTCAAATAGTTTGATTTCGAAAACACATCACTTATCAAATCACTTGATGCAAAAACACATTACTTTTCAAGTTGCTTGTTTTTATCACTTATACCAAAATAATATCGGTATGTTCACTTGTCAAATTTATAAACACTTTAAATCAAGTGGATGATCGTAAATCTCATTATCTCAAAATCAAAACAGTTCACAAAATTTATTTTTATAATTTTTTTTTTCAAATACCAAATCACGGGAAAATCTCTTGAATCTGTCAAACTGTTGAAATACATTTAAATCACTTCTTTGTTCAATAGCTTTCAAAGAAGGCAATATTTATAATTATTTGACATCGCATGAGAACCAAAATCACTTATCATATATTATATGAAATCAAAATTTATTTTCATGTTTTATATTGAAATCAAAAATTAATTTTCATATCTCATACGAAATCAAATTATATTATTGTGATAGGTTATCAGAGCATAACTCTTCACATTTCATTGTGTCATATTCAATCAAATATATAATACTCATGTGATTTGTATTATAAAAATACCAGTGAGAAATGAACTCACTTCTTAATCGATTTGATCCTTCCAGTTTGGTCCAATAAGCTCATATAGAATGAAATTATAAGTTCAAAGTCAATTTAATTTAGACTTATACTATAGTTTAGTCATTTCATAAATCTAGGTTCAAATAGGGTCAAAATCAAAATATCTAATCTTTATAATAAAGTTCCATTATTTTTGGACCTCTTAGAAGCCTCTCTCAAATTGTCCAGGATCCTAAATGACATTCGCTCAATTTTTTAAATTCTCTTTCAATCATTTAGGACCTTTTAGCAAAGAAAAGAAAGTTTAGAGGGTCTATAGATAATTGTCCTATCCCATTTATAGTCCTACTTCACTGTCAGGACCTGTTCACAAGTTCTGCAAACTTTCAGGGGGTCATATAAAATTATTCGTTTAGACATTTGTTTTGGACTGTTCTACAATCAATCTGGACATATTTACAAATTTTAGAATTTCAGGGTGTTATATCAAAATTTCCCTTTCTCGTTGCCTCCCTCTTGTTTTTCACTGATTCCTTATTGAAGCCAAAGTTCCAATGGTTTGAGTCATAGGACCGCCACCCATGACTTCTTTTTGGGTCTTACGGCTGGTTAAGACGCAGAGAGGTTCTCCGGTGATCGGCAGAGAGGTCCTTACCGGATCTATGGCTTCTTTTTATTTCTTTTTTTTATAATACAATCTATCAAATAATTTCCAAGATCCAAGATCCAACACTCATTGTACAACACCATTTGCTTTCATCTTATCATCATTGTTTTGATTAAGTTAATAAAATGCTAACTAGAAAAGTGAGTAATATACCTCATCTTTAGCTAGGATTGCCTTTTTATTTCCTTCTTAATGTCTCCTAGCTCTCTACAGCCTTGCCTCTTTCTTTCTTTTTTTCCTCTCTATTCTTCAAACTTAACTGAGGAGAAGAACGAATGAAATGGATGTTTGTCTAAATCTTCCTTCTTTCTTCTTCTTTTTGTTTTTTTAAATACATATTGAAGAGGCAAGAGACGTGTCCCTTTGCTCTCATTTGCAACTTCTACAACCAATGAGAATTTAGCATTTAACCCTCTCAATTCTTTAAGCAGCGTAGCGCATGCAAGCTGCCGGGCAAAATTTGCAAGACACCCTAGATCATAAAAATTTGCACACTAGTTAACTCATGATAATTTAACTTAATTTC